CCTAAGTGAACATGTCAAAACTGTCCAAAGTGTCAATATTTAGTGTGAGCACCATTGTTATCTAGCTCTGCCTTAATCCTGCTAGGCATGGCGTTCACCAGAGCTGCACAGGTTGTTGCTGGGATCCTCCTCCACTCCTTCATAATGACATCACAGAGCTGCTGGATGTTAGACACATGGCGCTTCTCCAACTCAATTGTCTTCTTGACGGTGTGTTTGGGGTCGTTATCATGCCGTTCGGCCCAGTTTCTGAAGGGAGGGCATCATGTTCTGCTTCAGAATGTCACAGTACATGTTGGAATCCATGTTTCCCTCAATGAAGCGCAGCTCCCCAGTACCAGCGGCACTCATGCAGCCCCAGACCATGATGCTACCACCACCATGCTAGACTGTAGGCAAGACACAATTTTCTTGGTACTCCTCACCAGTGCGTCGCCACACAAGCTGGACACCATCTGAGCCAAACAAGTTTATCTTAGTCTCATCAGACCACAGGACATGCTTCCAGTAATTCATGCTCTTGGACAGGTTGCTTTCAGCAAACCGTTTGCGGGCTTTCTTGTGAGCCAGCTTCAGAAGAGGCTTCCTTCTGGGACGACGACGGCCATGCAAACCGACTTGTTGCAGTGTGCGGCGTATGTTCTGAGCACTGACAAGCTGACCTTCCACTTCTGCAATCTCTAAAGCAATGCTGGCACTCATGCATCTGTTTTTTGAAGACAGCTTCTGCACCTGACGCACAGCACAAGGTCTCAACTCCTTTGATTGACCCTTGCGAGGCCTGTTACGAGTGAAACTCATCTTGGAAAACCTCTTTATGACCCTGGCCTGTACTGTAAGTTTCAGGGTGTTACCAATCTTCTTATAGCCTAGGTCAACTTTGTGGAGAGCAACCATTCTAATTCTCAAATCCTTGGAGAGTTATTTGCCATGAGGTGCCATGTTGAACATCCAGTGGTCAGTATGAGAGAATTGTACTCAAAGCACAAATTTGAACTGCTCTAAGATACACACATTTGTATGGTCCTGTCAAGCAGACAAAAACATGAACATGATGAATAGGACATGTGGCTTTGCATGGTTAAACGACGTACAGCTATTATCATTTAGGGTGTACTCACTTTTGTTGCCAGCTATTTTGACAATAACGTTGAGTTATTTTCAGAGGACAGTAAATATATACTACTATACAAGCAGCACATTGACCACTCTAAAATATATCCAAGTTTCATTCCTATAGTATTGTCCCTTGAGAAGATATACTAAAATATATAATATATATTATATATATATATATATATATATACACTCACCGGCCACTTTATTAGGTACACCTGTCCAACTGCTCGTTAACACTTAATTTCTAAGCAGCCAATCACATGGCGGCAACTCAGTGCATTTAGGCATGTAGACATGGTCAAGACAATCTCCTGCAGTTCAAACCGAGCATCAGTATGGGGAAGAAAGTTGATTTGAGTGACTTTGAACGTGGCATGATTGTTGGTGCCAGAAGGGCTGGTCTGAGTATTTCAGAAACTGCTAATCTACTGGAATTTTCACGCACAACCATCTCTAGGGTTTACAGAGAATGGTCCGAAAAAGAAAAAACATCCAGTGAGCGGCAGTTCTGTGGGCGGAAATGCCTTGTTGATGCCAGAGGTCAGAGGAGAATGGCCAGACTGGTTCGAGCTGATAGAAGGGCAACAGTGACTGAAATAACCACTTGTTACAACCGAGGTATGCAGCAAAGCATTTGTGAAGCCACAACACGCACAACCTTGAGGCGGATGGGCTACAACAGCAGAAGACTCCACCGGGTACCACTCATCTCCACTACAAATAGGAAAAAGAGGCTACAATTTGCAAGAGCTCACCAAAATTGAACAGTTGAAGACTGGAAAAATGTTGCCTGGTCTGATGAGTCTCGATTTCTGTTGAGACATTCAGATGTTAGAGTCAGAATTTGGCGTAAACAGAATGAGAACATGGAACCATCATGCCTTGTTACCACTGTGCAGGCTGGTGGTGGTGGTGTAATGGTGTGGGGGATGTTTTCCTGGCACACTTTAGGCCCCTTAGTGCCAATTGGGCATCGTTTAAATGCCACGGCCTACCTGAGCATTGTTTCTGACCATGTCCATCCCTTTATGGCCACCATGTACCCATCCTCTGATGGCTACTTCCACCATGTCACAAAGCTCTAATCATTTCAAATTGGTTTCTTGAACATGACAATGAGTTCACTGTACTAAAATGGCCTCCACAGTCACCAGATCTCAACCCAATAGAGCATCTTTGGGATGTGGTGGAACGGGAGATTCGCATCATGGATGTGCAGCCGACAAATCTGCGGCAACTGTGTGATGCCATCATGTCAATATGGACCAAACTCCCTGAGGAATGCTTCCAGCACCTTGTTGAATCTATGCCACGAAGAATTGAGGCAGTTCTGAAGGCAAAAGGGGGTCCAACCCGTTACTAGCATGGGGTACCTAATAAAGTGGCCGGTGAGTGTATTTCTGTCTGTGTGTATATAACTGTATACACAAACTCTAATTTTATATATGTATATATATACGCACACATATTATAGAAACTTTTATGTTAGATGCGATTAATCGTGATAAATCGATTTTACAGCCATAATAATTTATAAATAAATAGATAAAAACAACAGTAACAATAATAAAAAACTATAATTGTTGTTATTTACATTATTATTATTATTATTATTATAAATAATAATATATAAATTTTTTTTGTAGTCTAATGATCATTTAGTTATTAATTTGTCAAAGTTTAAATAAAACAAAATCACTTCTGCATATCTGTTATCAGATTTGATTGTACAAATCATTACATTTTATAATTGTTTTTTAGATAATTAACTTTTTACTTTTTGATTAAGTGACCGTTAGATGATGGCAAAGATAAAGTGAATAAAAAACCCACTAATTAAATAACAATGTTAATCTAAATATCCATTTTTCATACTCTGCAATAGTGTTGTGATGCCTAAATTGAAATGATTGATTTTATTTTTTATTTATTTCAACAAAGCAGTGTAGAATTGAATGTGAGCCATTTATCGGTTAATGGCCACAGCATGGAAATAATTATTGGCTATCAGACATTTTAATATTGGCGCATCCCCAGGTTTTTAGTTGTATGTTCGTACCATTTAAAAGTCCCTGTAGAATGTCTAGTAGGGTTATACTACAGTAGTCAACATTTGAAGTGGATCAGAACCTTTCATCAAAGTTATACATACATTTTGAACAATACCCGTTCTTGTCTTAGGACAACTTTGATTAATTTTTTTGATCCACTTCAAATGTTGACTGTAGTAGAGATTAGTCAGATGGACTGTTGACCATTAGTTGTTAGATTCCTCTGTATCTAGCCTCACCCTATATCGTGGGAGTTACAGCGTGTTGTGAATGGAGACCCTTCTGTTTGTCATTCTTGTGACAAACCTATTATAAATGACCTAACCTTTATGATGACAGCGTTTTGAAACCCTTTGTTAGCAGACTATTTCAATTATGAGGGAGTCACATCCATCAGAATCAGTGAGGAATTCTCATCTTTGTATGGTCTTGTCTTGTGCGCACTTGTAAAATTGTCCGGACAGACATTGGCGTTTTGGATTTGAAACGTACACTCCATAAAGGTCACTTAGTAATCCAAGTTCTTCTATTCCTGAAGCTTTTTTGAGGATTGAGGAAAACCCAAGCTTTGAAGCAGACTAAAGTTTTAATTCTCAGTGGCCTTTGGGCTGATCCAAGACCATGTGACTCCCACTGACACATACTCATGCTGGTACACTCAGACACACACACACACACACACACTTGGCTGTTGGTTAAAACAAATACTTGCAGACATATATGGCAACTTCAGTGCTTGACTAAAGTTTTAGAGCAAGTTCAATGTTTTGTACACACGTGCCCATGAATCCACTGATAGCCTATTTAATTGTACAGTTGCACAGTTTATTAAAGGAGATGTAAAAACGGCTTTATAGGAGGGCCTGGGACACTTTTTTCTCCATTTATTTTTGGGTGATTCTTAGGTGGTTACTTACTGGCTCAATATTTATTTTTAATATTCTGGTGGTCCATAGATTTGGCTTTGAGTCTGTGGGATTTTTTAAAAACTTTAAATAAATTTTAAAATTTAAAATAAATGTAATTGTTTTTTATTCACAAAACAAATGTGCATAAATAACACTATTATTGTATTATTTATATTTATTTTTATATTAATAATTAAATGAACATATTGTTATTAATTATAATTTGTTATTTTTAATAATAATAAATCCGAATCATAATGTAAACATAATGCATATGTTTATAATCGTTATGTAATGACCATTAGTCATTATTGTGTTAAAAAGCAGAAACAAAACAGTTAAAAATCATAATTTTTTTGGTCATCATGCTTAAGAGTAAAAATAAATCCTTAATGCCTTATCGATAATAATGTCACTCAGGTTAAGATTCAATTAAATTGTATTCATGAATATCAAATAAAGGCACTTTTTTGATTCAACACCATCTTTTTGTGAAACCAACCAATTGGTAAATACTAAATAAATGATTTTTTTTGGTCATATTATAGTGTTGTTTAATTCCTAAGGCGATGAAAAGATAGAGTGGTGTCTAACAAGTGTCCTTGAACGTTTCCTTACATGAGAGATTTACTGTTGAAACGTCTTTATTAATCATTTAAAACACAGATAGGTATGAGGTGTGTGAGTGTGTGCTGTATATGTGAGGATATGGGTGGGTGTGTGTGTGTGTGTGTGTCACAGTTGACTCACTGTTGAGCAGTGGTCACATGGCCGGCTGTCAGAGGTTTAGGGGTGGAAACCTAATCCAGCAGAGGAAACGTTTGACCCATCAGTACTGGAGTTTGAGTGTGTGAAGGCAACGCTGCGTGCTTTATAAGCTCTCTCTCTCTCTCTCTCTCTCTCTCTAGTGTTCTGTACACAGTGGCTGTTGGCTTTACACTAAGATGTCAGCGGCGGCTTCTCTGCAGTAAGCACTTTGAGGTATGTTTGAGTTTCAGTGGGTTCGCATCATGCTTCTTTAAAGTCAGTACTGACTATTTTTGTGTAGTTAACTAAAGTTGCTATTTTAACAGTTGGTGATAATTCTATAATAATTGATCAAACAGAATTTTGTTTTAGATGTTTTTGCATGTGTTTTCTAAGAATATCTCAAAATGGATGTGGTTTGGTAAATACTAATTTACCTTCAAATTGTATTACTTTTTATCACTTTAAATGGTAAGTACATATACTTAATGTTTGAAGCCTTTTTATTTATTTATTTTTTATTAATAAAACTTTTCCAAATTAACTGTTTAGATTTAACATACCAGATGATTAATTTATAACTTTGCACCTAGAAGTGAAATTCAAAAGTCAGCATATCACGACGGATCACAAGACATTGCAAAGTCAACAGTGAAAAGTCCAGTTTTGCTGATATTGCCTTGTCATCATATAGTGTGTACTTTTATTTTTCCACTTAAGTAACTTTTGAATCTAATTGGTTAATGATCTAGAGAAGTGGTCTGTGTGCTTACAGCCCAGAGGCTGTGTGGCGTGAGTTTGATAAAGTCATTAAACATGACAGCAATGATCATCTCTAGTGTTCAGCACCATAGTGTGTTTAATACGTTTCGTTATACAAAATGAAAAAGAGCTTTTATGATTGTTGTCCAAAAGTATGGTTTTGTAGATGATAGTACTTAATTGATATTTGATCTGTATTATCAAGTTGCTTGTGTAAAATACTAATTGTAAATCATTGTGTTGGGTCACAAATGGTCGAATTGACTAGTCATCCAACAGTTGAATAGTTGTTATTAGAGCTGCACGATTAATCGTTAAAAGATCGCAATCTCAATTCAAACACCTACACGACCTCATTCCTAAATGACAATGATCTATTAAACCTTGGACAAAATCACAACGGACCATTCATATCTGTGTTGGCGCTGCCGTTGATCCAGAGAGAGCAGTTTGTCATGTATGAAGCAGCTTCACAAGCTTTTTTTCCACAATATCGTTTTTTTCCGTCTTACAAATATTCTAATTATATTCAAGTATTGAGATAAGTTTATAGTTTGGACACTGATGTCTATGGAAGTGTTCAAAATAGAGCAAATCACCTTTTGAAAGTAACTTGACCCTTCAAATAGCGATCAATTTCATCGTTACACCAGTAGGTGGCGACAAGTGACTGTTAAAAATGGATTAGCGAAAAATAAATTTATGAGAGAGTCATTGAATTACTCATTCAATCCGATTTTGTTTATTCAAATTAATTACACATTTTAAATAGACTGCAGCAATTAAAATGTTGTCAGAACCGCTAGTAAATTCTGTATTTTTGTTTAGTTTGTCTGTTCAGAATCGTGGGAGAATCGTGATTCTCGGTTTGAAAAATAAAAATCATGATTGTCAATTTATCCAGAATCATGCAGCTCTAGTTGTTATTGATGTTTACATTCAGATATTCAGATGAACGTCTTTGGCCAAATAACATTGCACCATGTCAGAATCTGCTGCGTCACGCTAAAAAATTGTTCAACTTTTAAAAACACTTCAGCATTTTTCCAATTGGCTGCGTTCCGTTTAGCTGTTTTTGAACGCAACAAATCGTCTTTATTAAACATCCCCTAAAAAATATGCCTCATAATGTAGTTTTGAACATGCCTTGTAAATTAATGAATGAAAAAGATTAAAAAATTGCAAATCAGTACACAATTCGAAACATCTGATTGGCTATTAATATAAACTTGTGACTTATGGAGTTAATCATTTATGCTTGTACTTTGGTAAAACAATTACAAATCCATAAAACAGTCCCATAGACTTGTATTATAAGTGCATCTTATTCACATTTTCTTTTGTTTGTTTTATTGTTGTGATACATTTTTTACAATTTTGGAAATTAGTTATAGGCTTGCTTGATTGATTATCCAATATTTTTCCCAGATGTGTTTTTTGATACTATTACAGGGACTTGTTTGGAGTAATTTGAGATTTAGTTTTGGGTAGCTCATGGGTCAAAGCTTTGAACCTGCAACCTTTCAGTTGCCAGCCCAGATCTTTAAGGCTGCACCATATAATTCTTGATCCAAACCAATTTTTCAACATTTTTCTGTATGAGGTTTAAATTCAACTCACAAACATGTCTTTCATGTGGACGAGCCGTTGGTCACTAGTAAACTAGAAATTCTATATTTGCTGAACTTCACAGTCATTGAGCATTTTATATTTGTACAGTGAGGTTTCCACATTGTGATTGAAAGTCTATTTGCAGAATGGCATCTTTATTGGCCGTCTTTGCTTTGTCTGAAATTATATTTTATGGACATGCTTGAAAATAATCCAGTAAGCCTGTTTGACTTTCACAAAAGCAAAAGGATTTTCCAAACTGGGAATGATGTATGATCCTACGGTCTCTGTTTAGAACCGTACAGGGATTCTAGTTGAAGTTAGTGGGATGACTTTAAGTTAGATTAGAAAACCTACAAGTTACTCGTACAGTGGATTGAATAAAATCCTGTTTTGGGTTCACATTCAAGGTACATGGTTAAAAGTGTAGTAGACGATAACATAATTTGGCGTCGCTAAGCAAAATATGCACACCAGTTAAAGTGGATAAGACATTTATGGTTATCTGCTTCTCAATTGTTGAAGTGGTTACAAAGTTGACCTTCGGAAGAAATTGAGTGGGAAATAGAATCAACAAACAACATGATTCCTTTACTCAGTCATTAACTAGTTTTTTAGTTGTAGAAAATATACATCCATGTAATTTTCAATGCAAACGTGGTATGTCCACACCATTTAATAAACTATGTGCAGATGCACACCTGGTTGAACCAACTTGAGTAGAATGGATAGAATGGATTCTCTTATCATCTTTCATTATGTAATCGTAGATACTTCCTGGTTTAAAAACATTTCCTTTTTGGAACAAAGAAACCTTAGTGCAATTTTCAAAATGTTAAAATACTTTGTTCAGGAAACCAGTTTGAAAACAGTCATTAATAGTGTCACTAGAAGCCAAAAAATCGACATACTTCACTGTTAACTTTTTTTTCTTCAGATTTATTTAGAATAAGATGAAGTTTCTGATCTCAAATGTGTAAACTCCATCTTTTAATATCAAATGTGCTTAAATGATTATTAGGCTGTTTGCTATTAGGATACTTAGAGACACTTGCAAGCTCGCATAATTTGTGACATTTTTGTCACTGTTATTGTTACAGTTTTCCTCACTATTATAAACCAGTTTACATTGCTGATTTAGCATTATCATTTTTTTTTACCTCTAGCTACTTGAAAATAGGCACTTTGTTCTAAAACAACACTGTAAAAAAAAAAAGTTGCTACATTTTAAGTACAATCAACTTGGATGTTTAAGTCATTTCAACTTAAATTACATTAATCTGACTTATCAAAATAAGTTAAGCAATTTTCAACTTTTTTTATACAAGATTCGACTCATTTTTTTAGTTAAAGCAATGTAAAAACATGTCATAACTTATCATATAATTTTTTTTTTTACAGTGCAGTGACCTTGCTTATGAATCAAAGGACAATCTTTTTTCAGTAAATCAGTTTTCTTTGTAAAATATAAATATCAAAGGCCCGGTTTCACAGACCGGGCTTAGATTAAGCCAAGATTAGGCCTTAGTTCAATTAGGGCCCTTAAGTAGCTTAGAAAAATAACATTACAGACAAAACAATGGCACTGATATATTTTAAGATATGTCAGTGGAAGTTTTTTTTTCCAGTTAAAACAGCTCAAACATGCATTTTAGTCTGAGACTATCTTAAGCCTTGTCTGTGAAACCGGGGGTAAGTTTCATAACTTTGCTCAGTTTGTATCACACATTTTGATTAATGTGCCAGTCACAGAACAGTTGAATCATGCAGTTTATATGAATTCGACTGGTCCGGAAAAGCTTTGCTGGAAATGTTGAACTTGCAACAAAGTTGATGTAACTGTATGAGGAACAGCCTATATCTAAATTTAGCATCTAATGAGACATTGCAACATTACAATATAGTGCTCTCTATATTTAGGTGACTCTTAAAGATATTACAGTCAAGTTTCTTAGAACTGTGTTGCAAGAAGAATATAAGATAATGCAGAGAACATATTTATATGCAAGAACGATTTTTTTATATATATATAAGGGTGCATTGAACTCGGTGTTTAAAGCTTGAGTAACTGGGCACGGCCCACAATTTAACACAAATGTGACTATTGTCAACTGCATTAACTTTACCATAGTTTTGGTCCTTCTCTAGGTCATGTGTCTCTTTAAACAAGGTCAAGTTATTTGAGGTTGCATTGCCTTATTCTCTGATTACTTTCTTAATCTTTTTCAATCTTTTTTTGATCAGATTATGTTTCTGAAATTTGAAAATTTTCTCATGATAAAAATGTGTATTTTTTTATTATTTTTTTGGAATATACATTGTCTTTTAAAACCATGTGGAAGGATTTCTTATGGTCTGATAAGATTGTCGGTGAACTTTTACATGTTTGATGCAAGACCACAACTTCAGCATCATGCTGTTAGGATGTTTCTTAACAGGAACTGAATCAGGACAGATAAAGGTTAAACTGCTCCACATATCAAGAAGTTTTGCCACAAAACCTCCTTTTGCCAGAGAGCATGGATTAAAAACACAATTATTGCTTTCAGTGAAAGGAGGTAATGAAACGTAAATGAATCAACAAAGGCAAGACTTGAAAAACGAGTGCTGACGACCTTGAAGTTCCAGTTAGTGGTCAAACCTCAACTCAATTGAACAATTGTATTTTTGCGCAGACTTCTGCATCAAACCAAAGGATACTTCCACACAGGACTAATTAAAAGGTGTCCACGTTAGCAATTAAAAAGAATGCTTTTAAAATTCTTTCTATTGAAAATCGATGATTAATTGGAAGTAGTAAAGGTAATATTTTTTTGTTGGTTACAATTTACAGGTCTTTAACATTAGTTAATACATTAGCTAACAGAGCGAAATACATTTCTTGTTAATTTTAGTAGACCATTGTTCATTAGTTGCTGTTAATAGAAACTGTGTTAAAGATAACTTCAAATGTCAAAAATATATTTGTAAATGTTGAAATTAAGATTAATAAATGCTGCTTTACAGTATTGTTCATGTTAACTACCAGTGCCGGTCCTCCCCATATGCAAAGTACATAAGTTGTGTAGGGCCCCTGAACCACCAGGAGGTCCCCTAGCTCTCAAAGATGATTTATTGACTATGAATGCGATTTTAATATAATTTTATTTTTGATTTTGGCTTCCAATGATTATGAAAACATGCCCCGTTCCTTTCCTTTAAAGTGGCGTGCTGTCACCCTTCCTACGTAACATCCAAATCAGTCAAATCATGTAACATGACTGTCATAATATACAGTCTCCTACCGGACGTGCTCGATATTAAAAAAAAAGAGTTAAAAGCGCATTGAGCTGTGAAAGAGGAGCGCTTCCCCGGCCGGCTTTCTGTGCTACTTTGTTTTAGTGAAAACTCGCCAAGACGGACATTTTTACATATGTTTGCGTGTATTTGCCCAAAGTTGCTTATGTCTTAAGTAAACATAAACAGTTGGGAAAGTAATCAAATTATTGTCAGTATATTAGATCTGTGCATTTGGTCTTAAAGTGACAGCAGCCTAATAAACCTGCTGCTGTCTGTCATTCAGTGTTAACTAAACAACAAAAGAAAACCAGAGAATAATTCACTGCTCTTCTCTGAATATCTTCAGTCACTTGAATAATAATCATTTTATATTTAATTCATACAGTAAAAACTATACTGATTTTTACATTTGATTATTCAATTTCTGTATTATTAGTAGGCTAAATTGACTATTAGAGAATTCCTATTCTTTGTAATTGTATCATATTATGGTATTACTGACCATTTCTACTCACTGTTGTTTGTTGACAGTAAACTCCTCTGAAAGAACAGATTAAGGGTTTGGTTTTATCAGTGTAATGTAGTTAGCTAAAGGTGACTTCATTGTAAAGTGTGTTTTTTTTTTTTTTTTTTTTTTTTTTTGGGGGGGATTTCAGCCTGAAGTGCTCCTTATTAGGTCAAGCTGTTGTAATCTTTGTATGGTGTTCAGTGAAATGAATGTAATAGTAGATGAAGATTTGTTCAACCATCAATCACATCCAATATTTTATGGTAATTTATTTCAAGCATGAGTCTCTTATCTGTGTGTCCTTACAGTAGCAATCTTTTTAATCTGGTTGTTATCAGTCCTTGGATATGAAGGGGACTGTTATGTTATGCCATAAAGGGAGGAGCATACTATTGTTTAAACACACTGCAAACTTTTCTACCAGTTTGATCATTGTAACATAAATATGATAATTTGCAACTAACAAGTTATTTAACATTTCAAACTGTTCACAGGTTATGCTGCCTATAAACTCCTGTTTGAGTCTCAGTGAGAAAGAGAAAGGCTAAAGCCTCTACAGATTTGAGTGTTGTCCAGCGTCTCCTGTGCTGCTCCACCCCAGTCTCCTGACGTCCACCATGAGTGACCCCGTGACTTCAGATGAACTCACCAAAGCTGTGGCGTCAGTCGTTCACAACGTAAGTCAAGTGCTTCATTGGTTCCAAGCCCGGTTTCACAGATAGGGCTTAGATTAAGCCGGGATTATGCTATAGTTAAATAAGGACATTTAAGTAGCTTTTGTAAACATAAATTAGAATAAAACATTGCTGGTGTGCATCTTGAGACAAAACAATGACAACAATGATTTTATTCTTTGTCTTTGAAACCGGGCAAAAGAGTTGTACAGGATTTTTGAAAGACCCTTTTTATGCTACAGTAAAAACAGGAATATTGTTAAATATTATCACAATTAAAAATAACTGTTTTCTATTTGAATATATTAAAATATATATGTATATTTATATTCCTGTGATCAAAGCTGAATTTTCAGCATCATTACTCCAGTCTTCAGTGTCACATGATCCTTCAGAAATCATTCTAATATGCAGATTTTCTGCTCAAGAAACACTTCTTATCATTATCAAAGTTGAAAACATAAGTTAAACAGTTGTGCTGCTTAATATGCTTGTGGACACCACAATACTACATGATCTATATTCTATTAGCAAAAGTAAAAAAAAAAAATTTATTGCAAACTTTTGACTGGTAGTGTATAAAAACATTTATATACAGTACATATATTGCATATATATATATATATATATATATATATATATATATATATATATACTGTATATACTTTTTTTTTTCATGCAACATATTGAATAATTACCATGGGATTTACATGATTCTCCCATAGTAACTGATCAAAAAGGCTTTTTTTAAAATGGCTGATAAGAGATTTACATATGATATAGGTTAATAATACAAATACTTATAGCAATTGATATATACACATGCTGAGATGTAACAATTTAAACTGTAAACTAAGCATTTTATTTGCACAATACTAAAGTATGAACATTTTAGGACTGCAGTAAGGATAAAGGAAGCTAATACTTTATAAACAGGTGCCAATAAATATTGAGAAATGCGTTGGTATTTAATGGTATAACCATAGTACCATGTCCAAAAAAATCTTGGTTCTCTTTTGTAAGGTATATGTACACATTTGTTAATACTATTTTCCTAGATTTCTGTAGTGGCCTCATTCATTCACTTACTTTTTGTGTTCATCTTTTACAAGAGAAAGATCTCATGTTTTTTATTCTTTGAAAGAGTGCAGCGTTTAAGATCCAGGCAGACTTCCTAAACAAACATCTGCACTGTAATTATCTGTGCGGTCTGTCTTTAATGGCTCAGTATCACTAACAGATACTATAAAACTCACTCAGGCAACTCAAAGACCTTCTCAACCGCAAAATTGACCTTTTTTTTTTCCTCCTGCAGCTGTTTGCAGTGATATGCAGCAACTTTGTGCGACTTGATTTGCATCCTCTCCAAACCCCCACACTCTGCTGAGTCAGCGTTCCCAGGGTTTTGCTGTTAAAGAGCCAGCTCCCTTCCGACACAAATCTAGTCTCCTCAGTCTAGTTCTGCTTCACTATGTTGGGCCTGCAGTTCAAATAGTTGTCGGTGTGCTTGATCCTTCCCATAACCATTTTTATTGACACATAAGCATAAATTTTATATCATTTATCTTCAAAACCAATTTGCAACCAAATATTGTTAAAAAACAGATATTTTAAAACTCAAGGGGCCAGATTTACTAAACTGGGCAAATCAGCATGAGAGCGCAATCCCATAAAAGCGCAGATGGAAATGAAAAGTTCTGCGCGTGATCTACTGACGACATACAAAGAACACAGACAAAGCCAGATAATTTCTAGCGCAATTTAGCATCTGGTTTAAGACATGCTTTTTTTTTGGCCGGTGAATGGTGCAAATATCAGTAAATTTACTAGCACAAACCTAAGTAAATCACCTTGCATAATTCATTTAAATACTCTCCTCCCATAAATGCTGCGTCTAAAAGGGAAACTCCTACAAATGCATATGCAATAAGGCCAGCTGCAAAAATAACCCTGTCCACACCTTTAGTGAATTCTGACAGTATTTTTTTTTTTTAACGCCAGAAGATGGTTTGCCTTGGCGCAAGCTGTTAGTAAATTTGGCGTAAGGTATGTTTTAGCTGTAGAAATGTGAAGTTTGTGGCTGTTATTATTAGGGCCGAAATAAAAATTGTAGGCCAAAACTGAAAACCGAAACCGAAAATGCTTTTTAGAAATATTTTAGTGAAATTAAATTATATTAATGATACTGATTTTAAAAAACACAAGTCAATAAAGTAAAATAACCACAATTTGATCGAAAGTAACACACTAAAATTGGACCGAAAAAATATTTTTATTAAACATCAATATGTTATTCTTTATTCAGTTCTTTGCAACAGAATCAGATTAACAGACTGATTTTTTTTTTTTTTGACCAATTATCTAAATAATGTATAGTCCTACAAAGCCATTATTATCAGAGCATGTGATCCGAGCGTAGCGGATCAGTGAACAGTAGATGATTTTCGGCGGCTGAAATTTCGGTGCATCCCTATATTTTATGTCCCAATTGGTATGAATTTCTCATTGCTAGTTAGTGTAATTCAATAGAAGTACAGAGCATAACTGGTTAACTGACATCGGCTGGCCTCTTGATGGCAGGCAACTGTTGACCCATAAGGTTAATGATCAACCCAACGACACGACTGCTGGTTTTGGGTGTGTGGATGTGGCGGTGTGTTTGGGGGAAGACTAAACTATCAGCGATTGGAGTTCGAACGAGACCTGGTATTGCGAAAGTGGGTTATTCCATATCCTCTTCCTGCTGCGGTCACGTGACGACAGGTTGCGGAGGAGCGTACAGCTTCTGTTTGCTCATCTTTTAGATTTGCTTTGAAAAATAGATTCTTTTTCTCGCTCTGTGGGACACCCTCGTGTTTACACTTGATAGATGACCAATGGACTTCCTGTACACGTTTACGGTCAGTCATTTATTGAGTTAAAGACTTCCTAAATTAGCTATAGTATTAAATGCATTACCTGTTGAGGATGACCATACATCCCCGTAGTGGTATGTTGCATAATAGTCTATGGCCCTCTGATATGAGCCGTTATTGATGTATTTTTTGCAATATTTCGCGGTCAGTTCTTGTAAATCAATACTTGGCAAACAAAGTTGAGAGAAGGGTAATTTTTGAAGGCTGGTGGATCTTGCCTCATCGTTTTGAGTACATATTAAAAGGAGGTTTTTCTACAAGTTATCAAGGCTCACGGATGTAATCAAAGAATAATATTGCTATCTTAAGTGTTTAGCTTATTTTATACAGTATTGCATTTTGTTAAAGGTCAGCATATAGGGCTTCATAATAGTACTCTTAACATTATTAAATGCATGTAAAAACAAGATGTGCAGCTCTGTAAGGACATCCACAGCTCTCCATAACGCTCCCTCCTGTGTTGCACGCGTGTCTTGCTGAGTCAGTGGGATTTCAGACACCTCACAGATCTGTGCGGCTAATCTCTCGCTGCTTTAGCCACTGGCTCTTTGTGTGAACTGACTCTAATGCTGCATGGGAGACGCTGTGCGCCACTGCTTGTCCTCAAAGAGTTCTGCTGGTTTGGAGTGGGCTTGTGGGACGGTAAATGGTTTACTTTGGGTTCAGCTCGCTGTCTTGTTGGCCTGAGCATTGTGGGTCTGTGAGCATTGAATCACGTCGTATTTGTGCGTCCATTACTGGGCGACGAGCCAAACCTCAGTGTGATTTCACTGGAGAGAAAATGTATTTCTTGTGGGTTGATATTGACCACAAGTCTTTTGTGGAAAACTTTGATTTGTCACTTTTCGTCTACTAACAAGTTTAGGAGTTCTAACAGTGGAGTTCTAACAGGATAATATGAGTTTTGTTTTAGTATCATTGAGACACTATTATAGTTTTGTTTTAGTATCATTGAGACACTATTATAGTTTTTATTAATATTTTATATTTGTTTTTATTTTATATTTTGTTTCCATTTTAATTGTATTTTTTTTTGTAATTTTGTTGTGTGTTTGTCTTTTTTATAATGTCTAAATAATTATTAATTTTATTTTAGAAAAATGATTTAGTTTTTAGTATCATTGAGACTGTGATTTTATTTTATATTTAATTTAGTAAAATGTTTAGTGCTTTTGTTCTGTGTTTGTCATTTTATTAGTTTTTTCTTTTAAATCTCTATATACCGGTAATTATTAATTATATTTTAGTGCTGTATATCAAGTTAAACTAAATGAAAATGATAAATGTTATCTTGGCAACTAGCTGAGATAAAATAAATTAAGGTTGTTTAGATTTTATTTTATTTCAAATAACAAATGTTTTATTTTTAGGATTCTTATTGCATAATCAGCATTGAGAGTACAGGCAGTCCAGAGTTAGTGGTACATAAACATGTAAAAAAAAAAAAAAAACCAATCATAATAATGTAAATACAGTAGTATTTAAGGATACATAGTAAACATGTAAGCGATGTTATTTTAAGGGATTTACCCACAATATTTGAAATGAGTCAGATTTGTTTTTTTGTGGTTTAAGTTAACTATAGTACCGGTAACCCTGCTTCATAAGTTGAGCCAAAGACTATTAATGGGACTTTGTGTATAATCTTTGTCCTGATGTTACGCCTTGGTGCAATCGGGGAAAGTCATATAACTGTATAAAACCAAATGTAACTGGTTTTACTCAGAAGATTGGGTTGAGACTGGTCAACCTGTTGTTCCCACATGCCAATAACAGCATTTAAGGCGCCCGCGTAAAGTCTCAGAACGAATTAAAGCAGATTTGAAGCAGCAGCGCAAGGTAACCATAAGATGACGGATGTTTTCTGGAGAGTGTCGATGTTTGCCTGTGGAAAATGTTGAAGTGTGGCTGAGGAGATTATATTGTTCTGAACAATCGAAACCATGCGCCTTTCTTCCAAATCGTGTTTGTTTTGAATCACCCTGCGGAGAAAGACTGCCAGCCCTCCGATGACAGCGAGAACACAATGAGTTTTCTCTCTCTGTGTTGTTCTTGAGGACACACGGGAAGAGTTCTGCACAGCTTTGTGAGCACTGACTGATTCTTTCGCCAGCTTTAGCAACCATGGTAAGCTTTACACCGGTGGACTCTAGTTAGCATGTGCAGACTCTTATGTTCTCTTTTGTTTTGTTTAATTGAAAAAAAAAAATTTATTTGGGTCATTGCTGTTATCCAGCACCATTTGATCAACCACTTGTCAGACCAGCACTGCAGTATTTATTAAACTAATACCAAAGTCACATGACTTAGTTTATTTATTTTATTAGATTATAATGTAATTTGTATTTAATTAAATGTTATTCTATTTTTTTATTCTACTCTACTCTACTCTACTCTACTCTACTCTACTCTACTCTACTCTACTCTACTCTCTTAAGGGCCCCCAGTGGTTAAATATAACATTATTCCCATCATTAAATATTAGTATTGTTAATTTACAGTTGCAATGTAAAATATTTTTTTTTTTAAATATTTTTCTTAAATACTTTTTTTAAATTTACAGTAAAATAGTAATATTGTATGATCCATTAAAGTATAATTATGATTATTATTATTAGTAGTAGTAGTAGTAGCAGTAGTAGTATTGGTAGTATTATTTTTTTATATATATTTTAGTATTTATATATATATACTAGTTGATATATATATATATATATATATATATATATATATATATATATATATATATATATATATATATATATATATATATATATATATATATATATATATATATATATATATATATATATATTCAAGTTGATATATAATCCCAAAATATTGGCCAAATTGTGCAGCCCTACAAACAAGCACAGCAAACTTGTAAGTACAATTAGGAATTTTCTGAAGATGACTTGAATAGTTAAATTTGGAGGAAATTTTGATGGTGGAATGCATCTGCACAGAAAATTAAAAAAAAAACAAAAAAAAAAAACATCTCTTTCCAGCTCATGATACTGTTTCAGCATCTCACTCATGATACTGTTTCAGCATCTCCCTCTCACTCAGCACATATATTTATTAAATCGCTGCTTATGCGTTTTGGCTATCGTTTTACGCCATATATCGTGATATTGATTTTTATTTCTATATAACATGCCGCCCTACACCAGACCCAGATGATGTCCTACAGAAAATTGATGCTGGCACGGTAATTTAGTCCAGAACAACTGATGACAAGTTACTTTAGTCACTGAAGGATATACACCACAAACAAAACAGTCTTTGTGCACTGTGGAATGCATGCATACGTCACATAAATGCATTATCTAGCACGACTGAATGGGAGAAATTCTCCTTGTGTAATGTACCGTGTGAGCGGGCACATGAGCAGGAAGAGGACGCGTTGTGGACGTGCAAGAATGGGATTAGATGAGATGATAGTCAAATTTGTTTTGATTTTGCAAGGAATTTTGAATGGAAAAGGTTTGTTGTGTCAGATATTTTTGGTCATTTTATTGCATGTAGGAAACCGATTTTGTGGATTTGCAAAATGAAAGATATTGCAGGTAATGATTTACAGTGAATGGATTTTATTCCCGTCTCTTTCCATGTGTTTGTTTGGGTGATTATTGAGCAAATGAGAACGCTCCATTGAGGTGTAGCTAATAAGATAGTTTGTTTTTGACTTGAGGATATTTGCTCATGTTATTGCAATAAGCGCACCAATGAGCTGTAAAGCCTCTAGTGTTTGCATTTGTTTTACATAATATCATGATTCCCATTTAATTTAGAAAGAGATTTACCACTGAATCTGGATCACTAGGAACTCTGACAGGGTTCATTTAACTCGGCGTGGTGTTCTGTGACGGTTAATGCTTTGACCATGACTCCCTCTAGTGATCGCTGTTAGCAGTGCAGTGATTTATCACTTCTTAATAGCAGGATTCATACTGTTACTGCACCAGCGGGAACAGTTGGCCATCAGAAAAACATACTATAAATATACTTTTATTTTATTTTACTTTGCTTTTTTATTTTTTTACTTGTTTTGAATTGATTTTTCCTGACTGACCTTATCCTGTGTGGTCCTCCAGCCCGAGTCTTCGACCTCATCTGTCCGAGTGCCACAGAGGGAAGAAGAGGAGGATGGTGACCTGAACAAGGCATTAGGTGTTCAGCGCTTCCAGCAGATTCTGAGCCCCACTCCCAGAGTTCCCGGCGAGCAGCACCGCACCTACAATGAGAAAGATTTTGAGTGTAAGTTCACCCTTTCGCATCCTTATTTTATTTTATTTTATTTGAAAAATATGCTTTATTTTTTCGATCTTTTTGAGTGTTGCTCTATCTATCTATCTATCTATCTATCTATCTATCTATCTATCTATCTATCTATCTATCTATCTTATCTATCTTATCTATCTTATCTATCTTATCTATCTTATCTATCTATCTATCTATCTATCTATCTATCTATCTATCTATCTATCTATCTATCTATCTATCTATCTATCTATCTATCTATCTATCTATCTATCTATCTATCTATCTATCTATCTATCTATCTATCTATCTATCTATCTATCTATCTATCTATCTATCTATCTATCTATCTATCTATCTATCTATCTATCTATCTATCTATCTATCTATCTATCTATCTATCTATCTATCTATCTAGGCTCCACCATAAATGTATTTATTTAATAATAAATAAAAAAAAACATGTGTATAATTTTTTTTTTATTACATATATACATTTATACATATCATTTTTTTTTTATGGTGGAGCCAGCAAAAAGGAAGCCATTAAAAAAAGTGAAAATGCAGAAGTGAAACTCGGCTGTAATCATTCTCAGATCACCGTCACTCCTCCCATCACATCCACCATCCTCTGTCCAAACTCCCGGGAGATGGCAGGAGGAAGAAGAGTGGGAGGAAGAGGAGGAGGAGCAGCAGTAAAGAGCACAGAGCGTGTTCAAGCCCCAGCGGTGCTTTGGCCATCGAGGAGGGTGAAGATGAGGAGGAGGAGGAAGAGGAAGAATCTACAGAAGGCCAGAGCGCCACCCCAACTCCCACAACAGACGCTGAGAGGAAAGACAGTGTTCAGGTAACCAGATTTATATCCTATATTTATGATTTAATTGAATGTCTTATTAATTTAGTGAAAATCTAATGAACTTTATCAAGACAATAAATAATAATGTAACCAACATACTGAAACACTGGCAAAAAAGTAAGGCAGCGCCTATTTGCACCAAGTGCAAATAATGACAGATTCTATTTACACTATGTAAAAATAGCAGTATTTTCTTTCCAATAAGTGCGAGTAGTCGCCTAGTTAGATACTATTTGCACCTCATTGTTTTAGTACATTATAAAACAGCATGCAGTAATAGCATAAATGAATAATAACATACGTGTAAATGAAATAAATGCTGTCCTTCCTAAACCTAACCCTACCCGATAAACACTTTAAATATCCTTTAGGCACTTTAATTCCCCTTTTCACATATTTTCTGGCCCAACCAGACAGATGTGGGCGGAGTTAGTGTAAATAGCCTCTGCCAACAAGACGGGCTATTTGCACTTAGTGTAAATAGATACTCTGAAAACATAAAGGGATTATTCACTCAAAAATGAAAATCATTTACTCGCCTTCATGTCGTTCCAAACCCATTAGACTTTCTTTCATTTTCAGATCACAAACTCATATTCAGGATAATTACTCAATATAATAGATTTATCATTATTCCTATAATTTTTATCTCTTGTCCAGTTCTTCGTGTCCGATGATGACCCTCATGTGTCCACCCCTGAGACTTCAGATCCTCTCCCTGCCCGAGGAATCCTGATCGTCCCCTCGTCTGCGGTGTGTTCGGAGCCCCAGGACAGCACATCCACTGAGTGAGTCCGCCTGCTTTAGCTTTACATATAAAAACGTTTAGTGAAAACATGCTGATAAATTCGGTCATCATTTAAACTAAACCTGAACACAAACAAAGCTATTTTAAAGAATATGGGTAACCAAACAGTTGATGGACCCCATTGACTTCAATAGTATTTTTTTTCCCCATACTATACAAGTCAATAGGGAACATCAACTGTTTGGTTTCCAACATTTTTCAAAATATCTTTGTTTGTGTTCAGCAGAAGAAAGAAATTCATACAGGTTTGGAACAATGGGTCTCATTCATGAAACATTCGTAAATATACGAGTGATTTGCGCGTAAAGAGACCTTCCCGAAAACTCTTCTCCTGATTCACAAATACTTCGTAAACGTCAGATGTGATAGTGAAATGTGTGTGTGTGTTAATGAATTCCAATCAGTCGTAAATGGGATGCGTGTGCACGTTCATTCTCAATTACCATAAATCCCGCCCATTAAATCCGACTGACAACTATATATGGGCATCATATTATGACATGAATGCGAAAAAAAAAATTCTCAGATGCAGAAATTGAAGTTTTGTTATCAGAAGTTCATTCAAAACGCCACATTTATTTTCAAGCGTACATAGTGGCGTATCGGGTCCTTAAAAAAAAGGAAGCTTGGCAGCATATTACAGATGCAGTTAATGGAGTTTCATCTGTTAATCGAACATTCCCAGAAGTGAGAAGAAAATGGTTCGACATTAAGCTTGAGAGCAAAAAACGAATTAGTTCACTTCGGAAAAATAGTATTCAAACTGGAGAAGGACCACCATCGCAGATGCTATTACTGGCTCTCATAATAAGAAAAACCGTATGTAATTACTATATATAATATTTTTTCAAAATGCTGTGCAAATATGTACCCGATTAAGGTGAATTAAAATGCAGCCTAATTAATGACCAAAACGTTCGGGTGTTAAGCGCACTATTTACGCGTGGCTGGGAGCAGGTGTAGATTTCTTGTGTACCAACTAACATTTGGAAAATACGAACATTTTAATGAATCCGAAAATTTACGCCAGAACCACTTTACACACGATTTACACAAAAATTCGTTCTGCTCGTGTTTCATGAATGAGACCCAATGTGCGTAAATGACAGAATTTTCATCTTTGGGTGAGCATGAAAATAATGAGAAAATAATGCAATTTTGTTTCATTCACTCTGTTGTGAAATGTGATCTGGAAACGTTTTTGTGTAATTGTGGGATTTTGGTGGAAAGTATGTCACCATTTTTTGAAGGGAAGTTGTCAGTGTCTTGAGTTTTGTTATTTGCTCAGCTGAAGTGGTGGACATTGCAGGTTGCGTAGCACAAGCTATAAAGCGTGCACTTTCAGCTTGTGTCCGCCTCTCTGTTCTTGGTTTACTGTAAATTGAATCATTAGATGCCAGTGCACAGCACACCCTGTTCGTTACCTAGGACGAGATATTTCAGAGACCAGCAGGGTATCAGTCTCTCTCCAGACCTCCATCACCGCTGTCTACATCATTCACCCGTTGCTACTAGCAACCGCACTTTGCTTTTATAAAGCGCTCTCCACCTTTCCTTTCTGCTTTCTCGTCTTTTAAACGCAGGAGTGTCTTTACACACAACAGGATTCATTGTCAATGTCATTTCAGCAGGTTGTTTTCTTCTGTTCTTTAATCTTTAGTAACATTAACAATGACAGGGATTTTGTCCGTGATGTTTTTGGTCTAATAAGCTTTTAAAAACGATTCATTTTAAACGAAAGGTAAGTGCTTAAGAAGATTTTGTATATGTTGCAAAATTGAGTGCAAGATACTTATCAATTAATCTGTAGAGATTTTATGTCATAAGAAAATGTGTGCATACTCTAGTCTATAGTGAGCTACTGAAGTTATGATTGAGTATTCATGGCTAAGTTATATTGTGTTTCTTCAAGAAATTTAGTGACCTGCATCTTATTTTTGTTGTGGACAGACAAAATTCAATATTTTGTCTGCATGTTATTGAGTTAATTAAGTAATAAAAAGCTACCAAAAGATATTTATCATAGTAAAACACTAGCACTTTTTTACCAATTGTGAGCACAAAGCCGTTTTTTACTCCTTTTGTGGACTTTTCAAAACGATTTGCATGTTTATAATCAGGGTTATTATCGTTAACTAAAACTATTAAAACATTTATGTTAATGGAAACAAAGCTCAAATAAAATATAAATATTAGCTGGAAAACTTAAACTAAACAAAAATTGTAATTAAAACTAAAATTGAAGTTGAAGCTGAAGCACTAAAATAATTCATTATTTAAACTAAAAACAGATAACTTTTTATGTGTTTTGGCCATTCATTTACAAGACAATGGCATTTTGGAAATGCAAACTTACAAAACAAAACGGGTTTCAAAGTGGTAGTTTTTTAAAACGATACTATTATCGTCTCATTGTAAACCACAAAAACGTGAATTTGTGAGAACTGTGATGTCATGTGCATGGGTATCATAGCATGCGTATTACGTGGGACTGAACAATAAGCACGTAGTGTTTCTTTACAAAGTGACATTGCCAACTAGTGGCCTGGCCACTAGTCAAAAAACTAAACTTTTCCATTTTTAGTACATCATTTTTGTATAAAAGTACCTCAAAAGTGAAATAAAAAATTGCACCTAAATAGCAATATTTAAAAAGTAAAATAAAACGTGAAAAACAATGAAGTGACTGAAAATTTTACTAAAATTAACTAAAAATATAAAAATAAAAGCCAATTTAAAATATTAATAAAACAAAAAAAAACTGTCTGTGTTAATGGTTTGATGAAAACAGTCTCATTTTGTCTCTTGTAGAACGCCTGAACCTGGTCCTCCGACCCCTAGCGCCACTGAGCCCAGCTCTCTGCCCCGTGTGTCGAGTCGCAGCTACGACCTTCAGGAGAGACGTCGCACGGGCAACATGACGGGGACCGAGCAGGCCAAATACCAGCGGATCCCCACTGATGAGTTTGAGGCTCGGACCCTGGCCTCGGCTGACCTGGATGGCATTAAAAGTGAGTTTTTAATACACATCTCCACCTTGTTTTGCAGGTTTGGTGAATAACTGCTCAGTTGTATTAGGAAATCTTGAGGTAATGTACAAGCCCAAACTAACAATAAATGCATAAAGAATGATTTCTATTTCACTTTAAAGGTAGGGTAGGCAATTTTCAGAGAGGCTAGCAATAGCTCGCTAGCTTTTTTTTAAGATCCCACCCTCACTTCAGAGCGTCTCCAAAGCCACGCCTCCTCCAAAACACACGAACACACAGAGCAGGGAGCAAACACAAGTGTCACAAGGGTCGACATTAAACTACCTCATGTCTCAAAGCACATATTATTACAATAATAATGAACATAAACAACTTAAAGAGCCCTGACCTGTACCACCTGACTGCTGCAGATTCATTTAGCTGTTGATAGTGTTGCCATTGAAACGCATTAATTTGAGTCACAAACCGTTCATCACGGGTTTCCATCTCTTCCAGATTACAGTAGTTATGGCGTGAATGTAGCATAAGCTCGTTGTTTTAGTTCAGGAGAGACTGTAAAAGGCGGCTGCTGTTTCGGTTGTGGTGCTCGGTGACTGATGGAACGGAACAAGGGCAATGATTGGACGGACATTTTATGGTCCTACACCTTCCACAGACGATATATTATATACATATAAATACATGTAGACCACTTAACTTATTGATTGCTATCAGGATGTAAAGAGACTTTAAACCAGCATAACAAAAAATGCTTCTGCAACAAATCACCTACTCTGCCTTTAATAGATTCCAAACATGCTAGTTTCCTGAAACGAATCAGAGGGAAATAATGCTGTTATCCCTTTGGCTTCTTTATCCTGTTCTAACTTTCCATGAAGACCTGGCCACCAGCTAATGGGATTTCATGTGAAGAATCTGGGTCTGAAATCTCTGAAACTCAATGCATTTTAAAATGAAGCTGTCTAAGCTGCCATCTTTCAATACTATTGTTCACCAGTAATATAAACAATGACTTTGCATTCATGCATTTTGTGGATGATTGACTTTTAAAATCCTTTTGACATTCCTTTGCATAAAAAGCTAATGCTAAATATAATGCTGGAATATAGAGTACAGTTCTGTTTAAAAGATTGGGGTCAGTAAGAATTTTTATTTAAAATAAATTAATACTTTTATTCAGCAAGGATGCATTCAATTGGTCAAAAGTGGCAGTAAAGACACTTATAAACTAAAATCCATGATCTGGTCTTCTGTGAGATAGTTTTCACTGGTTTCATGGTCTCTCAAATGATTTGTACCATGCATCCTGCTATGCTTCACGGCAAGAGTCTTTTGTGCCCCAGAGAGACAAACTTTTCTCAGACGTCAGTTGTATATCAGCGGTTCTTGTAATATACTCCATCAGCTCTCTCCGTCTTCCTATGCAGGCCACTAATTTGTCTGGGAAAAGGCCCATCTGCTGCATATGCTCAACGACAGGACTTACACGGTTGCTTTCTACCATTTAGTTTACCCTGTTCAATTTTGGCACATCAGTTCATAGGCAAATACATGTCTGACATAGCCTGGGTTTCCCCATACTGCCTTTGCACTGATTTTATTCACACTGCTAGCCAGTCTGGATACCATGGACCAAATTTTTGCCTCAGCGAGGGGACCAATCACAGAACGGGGAGGGAGCAGGAAGACGATGACGACGTCTATGCGACACACCGAAGCAGTTTGTTTATACCTATGGATCAAACATGGCAGCAGACGCGAAGTTACCTTTCCATGCAGCCTTAGATATTGTTCTAAATAGTTTAGAACGCAAATAAATCTCTGACCCATCGTCTTCTTCCTCGTCTAATTTCTTTCGCTCTACATACGTCATCTGGTATAATTGAAACGGTTGGCTATGTGCTACGTACAGGCGCATTTGATAGACATTCGTAGCACCCAATAGACGGCTCTGGGCATTCGTAAACCACGCCTCAAATACGAAAAAATGAACATGTGGTTCCCAGACCACGTCTCAATCTCAATGAGACGTGGTCTGACATTATCCAGGCTATGTCTGACAGCAGTTAACAGACAATAATATGTTAAACTCTGCTTGACTTTGTTGCATCATCAGCGGTTTTAGTCGCTGTCAGCTCTCATCTGTTGTTGCAAATCACTGTCGGTGTGAACGCTTTTGTAGACGTTTTCTTAATGTTAGTGAATTTCAACTTGCGGCTCAAAGTAGCTGTGTGGGAAAAGGCTTTGGCCTCTTTTCTTGATTGGAGTTTGTTCCCACAATCACCCAATTAGTCAAATCCCCTTCAGGTCCCGCCATGACCTTTTTACCGTGAATGTCTTTGGCGACTGGCCCATCCTGTAATTTCACCCTGATGAGCTTGTTAGGAACAAAGACGATGACCTGCTTCTCAACTCTGTCAAGAAGATTTTACCTAGTGAGAGTGGTCATTTGACAGATTTGAGGAATACATGCACTTTGGGGAAGTCTTAAACCATGGAAATTTGATCAAATATTTGATAGTATAGTCATAGCGCACGTTTAGTATACATGAATGTGACATATAATAAATTGCAGGTTAATCACCATATCTGATAATTCTTTCTACCATTCAAAAGTTTGGGATCGGTGAAGGTTTTTTTGAATACATATTTCTGTTAAAAAAAAAATATTTCAAATAAATGCTGTTCTTTTTAAACTTTCTATTTATCAAAGAATCTTGAGTAAAAATGTATCATCGTTTCCACAAAAGTATTAAGCAGCACAACTGATTTCAACATTGATAATAATAATAAATGTTTCTTGAGCAGCAAATCAGCATATTAGAGTGATTTCTGAAGGATCATGTGACACTGAAGACTGGAGTAATGATGCTGAAAATTCAGCTTTGATCACAGGAATAAATGACATTTTAAACTGTAAAATTATTTAAAATTTAAAAATGTAATATTTCATGTTTTTGATTAAATAAATGAAGCATTGGTGAGCATAAGAGACTTCTTTCATAAACATTAAGAAAAAAAAATCTTACCAGCCCTAAACTTTAGATTGGTAGTAACATGCTCCTCAATTATTTGAGAAACACTTCACAATAAGGTTTTATTTGTTAACATTAGTTAGCTAAAGTAGTATCTGACCATTTACTAATACATTTTTAAGATCAAAATTTGTATCTGTTAACAACATTAGTTAACGCACTGTGAACTAACATGAACATGGACATTTGTATTACCTAACATTAACAAAGGTTAATAAATGCTGTAAGAATATATTTTTCATTGTTAGTTCATGCATTAACCAATGTTAACAAATAATATGTTTTTGTTTAATTCTTCCAGGCCATCGTTTTGAAGATGTTCCTGGAGTGCGTCGACACCTGGTCAGGAAAAGCACAAAGGGTCAAGTGGTGCACATCAGCAAAGATCACAAAGAACCCAGCACACGCACTCGCAAACTGGACCGAACGCCACATGAGGTGAGACTTGTGCTACATTCTGAGTTTGACTAGCTGATGTGAGAAGTTGGGTTCAGACTAGGTTAATACACTAGCTTCAACCAAAGGCTCTCATGGTCATGGAAATTAAATTGATTAAGTCTATTAATACAAATTTGGAAAGTCATGGAAATTTCTATAGTTAACGTCCATCTTTCTGCTTCTGCTTTGCAAAATTATAAAATATGTTTGTGTTAAAGTAAAAGAAAGGAATTTCTTGAAATTATTGAAATAAATTATTTATTTAATTATTTATTTTTATATAATAACAATAGGGATGCATCGATATGAAAATTTGGGCCGATAATTCTTTATATTTGGTAACCGATAAATCTAAATTCCAATTTTTATATAATTTTTGAGAGCCTGATTACAAAAACAAAAGTCTCACCATGAAATGCCATGTCCCAAGCACACAATTATAATGTTCTCATTATAGTTTTATGTAGCCTATATGACAGACTTGTGCTGCACATGTTGCACTTGACCATATTTTCCTTTTTTGAAGTGAGTCCAATCATATTTCAAGCAATTCCAAACCATCATGGCGAACAGTGTGCATCTGAAGTGTCTCAGCTTGAAGGAAATAATCCATTATTTATCAGCTTTACTATATTAGCCATTATTATTATTAGTAGTAGTATATAAAAAAAAATGTCCCTAATTAATTAAATCAATCCTTATCCAGTAATCATGAACAACCAGAAGGATCATTGAAAAGTCATGGTTATTGATTTATCAAACACTGTGGGATCCTGGTCACTATTGAAATGTGGTCTCTATTTAGTCAACATAAACGCTTGTTTAAGCTTAAGCTAAAAGTTCTGTGGAAATCTTTCAACACCATTCCCTCTGGCTGCGATTTTAGGACAAAGTTGTTGTAATGCGCAAGACTAGCTAGGTTTCGGATGTCTCTACAGATGCCTTCACAAAGTCCTGATGAGTTCTTTCAGCGCATTTAGCCCTTTTTCCCAGATTGAGACTGCATTTCCAATTATTTCTGACAAGCCTGCCGTCCTTCACAACAAATAAAAGGAGGATTTTGGGGGTCAGAACCTGATTAAAAATGAATGAACTTCTTCCCTTTCACACACCTAAGAATAAAGAAAAGATCAGCTCGGGTAACTGGACACCGCAAGCCTTCAGAGTCAGTCATGTTTTATTAACGCCCTCAGATTCCCCTCTAGACAGGTAAACCAGCTACGTATTTGGGTAAATGAGTGTACTTATGGACCCTCTCACTTCTAAACAACACCAGTGTTCACACCGCTGCCTGACGTCTCGTTGCCCAGTCGTGCTCTGACGCTGTTCTGTCTGGACGAACAGCATGGTCCTTTTAGACTTTTCCAGGCGGCTTGCTCAACACCAGAAGGTCAGGGAATGGTGTGTTGGTGTACATGCTGGATGCATCGATTGGTGTGTGTGTTATCACATTTTGGGCTGATCAAACCAATGTTAGTTTGAGTTGAAGTACAAGCTTCTTGGGTTGAGATGCATAGCTGGTAGCGTTTTAATGATATGTTGCTTTAACTACTTAAATTCCTCTAAAAAAAAAGCCCTTAATGAATTTGTGTTTTAGGAGTTTTCATCAGATTCAGAAGGGGGTTTATTTGCATGATCTTCACTCATGTATTGCATGTCCTTCTGGCCTCAGGTGTTTGTGGAGCTGAATGAGCTGATCATCGATAAAAACCAGGAGATGCAGTGGAGAGAAACAGCCCGCTGGATCAAGTTTGAAGAGGACGTGGAGGAGGAGACGGACCGCTGGGGGAAACCACACGTCGCCTCGCTGTCGTTCCGCAGTCTGCTGGAGCTGAGGAAAACCATCTCTCATGGTGAGAACCTGCTCAAACCTCCAGAAAACTCTGTTTAGCAAATGTTACAGCTAACCTGACATTTGCTATTGTAACATCAAAATTGATTACATAACCTATCTTACAGTGTGATTTGCTACAGTATACTATGGTTTTAAACTACTTTTTTTAATATAATTACTTTACTAAATGAGACTCCAAGTAATATTTCTGTTAAAAATTAAATGTACTTCAGAAAAGTGAGCAATAATGTGGATAATGGATAAAATATAATTTAGTCCCAAAATCCAAAATCTACACATCGCTTATACATTATTATATATACAAATGTAATAAAAAAAAAAAAAAACCATTCATATTATGCATCTACTACCTAAGTACAATGTTAATTGTTATATGTATTTTAATGTATTATGAACAAAAAAAGTTAGCTGTATATTCATAAACATGAATGTAGATTAATAATTGCTCATGTATGTGTGTATACTAAAATATTATTATATATTATACTATATATTATAGTAAAAACATTTTTAACACACACACAGTGTATATATATATAATATATATGTAATATTTAAATTTATGTTTGTGTGTGAGAAAGTAAATACTGTATATGTATACATTGATACACTGGTATATACAGTGTATGTATATGATTTATGTGAGTATTATGTTTTTATATATAAATGTGTATATAAATAAATTTAAATCTATACACACACACACACATATATATATATATATATATATGTATATATATATGTATATATTGATTGCATTGATTTTGTCATGAAAATGAAATGGCCTTATTTTTGATTCCTCCCATTAGGAGCTGTGCTTTTGGACTTGGACCAGAAGACACTACCTGGTATCTCCCATCAGGTGGTGGAACAGATGATCATCTCAGACCAGATCAAAGCTGAGGACAGAGCCAATGTCCTCCGCGCTCTCTTACTCAAGCACAGGTAGATCTCAGATGTTCGTACAATAAGCAATATCTAACACCATGTCTACTCCAGGCGTGACAAAGCGATCATTGCAAATCTATTTGTTCTTCGCATCAGAAGTTGTGCCAGCTCTATGTCAGAAATAGAACGGGACATCAGTTAACTGTGGGGATTTAGGTCATCTCGCGCCACATCCAGTGTAGACAGCATCACTGATTATAATTGGATTTACTTGCTTTTGTCAAATTGCCACACTCGCATCTGGTGTAGACATGGTGTAAGAAATGACAGAAGGGTGTTGGTTTCCATTTGAATTTCTTTTTTCCCACATATGATTTTTTTAAATTCTCATATAATCTAATGGTTTCTGTTCGCCATAACATCACCCATCCATATATAGATCCACACATGACCCTTCGCAGTCTCTTCTAGTGTCTCTTACCCGCTGGCTCCCTTGCTCTCCCTCCCTTAGTCACCCGAGCGATGAGAAAGAGCACAGCTCCCCGTTCCCCAGGAACATCTCGGCTGCCAGCCTGGGCTCCCTGATCACTCATCACCAGAGCAGCAATAACCACCTGTCCGTCCCCGAACCCTCCGTCACAGAGCCACTCATGGGCTCCTCAAGGGCCAGTCAAGACAGCACTCTTCATATTGACATAGAGAAGAACGAGGTAATTGGATTGAAGTGTCTCAATTAGTTGAAGAGGAGGGCAGCCTGTATCTATTTACAGATAATAGCCCACAATTTTTTTATCTTAAAGTTCCTAAGCCTCGTTTTCATTCATCGTTCATTCATTCATTCGGTCATTCATTTAAGGGTTAAAAATGACATTTCTTCACCAGTCATGTTTTTGCTTTTTGTCTAACGATTGAATGTGTTTTTGTGACGTTGGTAGCACTTTATTTTACAGTCCTGTTCCCCATGTACATGTACTTATTATAGTAAATACAATAACTGGGTAATAACTATGTACTAACCTGAACCTACCCCTAAACTTAATCCATGTAGTACCCTTATATTAACCAGGTAAGTACACGCAACTTCTGTAAAATAAAGTGGCGTGACCTCAAATGTGAAATTTTCTTTCGGATTTTTCAGTCGCTGCTCAACATAAAATATATTTTGGGTCTTCAAGATTAGTTTCTTTCTGATTCGTCATATGTTTCATTATTTGCAGAAAGATTCAGCTCCACCTATAGGCATGCACAAATCCAAGTCCAAACATGAACTTAAGCTTCTGGAGAAAATTCCTGAAAATGCTGAAGCCACCGTCGTACTCGTTGGTAAGCAAATTGTTCTCTTGTTAAAGAATCCCATTGGAATTCCGTCGGATTTCTACATTGGAACCAGTTCTAAATCATTTTAGAATCTAGATTATATGGAATTTGGAAAAACATTCATTTCAGTTTATCCCATTTGAACCAGCTGCTAATAAGGATGAATTCTGAATTAACGAAATGCATCAGGAACTATCATAGAGTTAACACAATCAGCCAATTATTTCACAAAACAGCGGGAAATGAAATGTATTGCTCCCTTGTTAGGCAGTGTGGACTTCCTGGAGCAGCCCACCATGGCATTTGTTCGACTGCAGGAGGCTGTAGAACTGGCCTCAGTGTTGGAAGTATCCGTTCCTGTTCGGTTTCTCTTTGTGCTGCTTGGTCCTCCCAGCACCAACATGGACTACCACCAGATCGGACGTTCCATTTCCACACTCATGTCTGACAAAGTGAGGAAGACCGCTCTCGGTCTAGCATACAATTGACTACAAATAATAAAATGGCAGCTCACCAACCCACAAGATCATAAACATGCATTGTTGCAAACAATTCTGGCTATAATGCCTGTTTCCAGTGTTAACTTGATGTGACGTCTCTCCAGCAATTTCATGAAGCTGCATATCTGGCAGACGATCGGCAGGACCTGCTCAACGCCATCAACGGCTTCCTGGACTGCAGCATCGTGCTCCCTCCATCAGAGCTGGGCGGAGAAGAGCTCCTGCGCTCCGTCGCTCACTTCCAACGAGAGATGCTCCGCAAGAGAGAGGAGCAGGGGGGGGCCATGCTGTCCAAAGAGCCCAAGAGCCTCGAAGACAAAGGTCTGCTTCTGCCTGGGTAGATTCAGTCTGGGCTGACTAGTTCCAGTTAAGCTTTGGTTTATTTTGTCTTTTTATTCTTTTGATCTGTGTTTTTTTTTTTATGTGTTATAGTTTTTTTGTGCTCATTTTATTAATTTTTTTATATCGTTTTTTTATTTGTTTGATTTTTATTAGTGTGTTTGTTTTTATTTTGTCTTTTATTATTTTGTCTTTTCATTTTATGTAGACACTTTGTTTTCAGTGTTTTTTTTTTTTTTTTACCTTACTGCTTTTTAGTTTTTGTGTGTGTGTGTGCTTGTTTTGTTTTATGTGCTTTCATTTAGGTTTTTTATTTTATGCAGAGCTTTTTTTTGTTTTTCTTTGTCTCTTTTGTGCTTGTTTGAATTTTTTTGTATTTTTGTTTGTATTTGTTTTCTTTTTTTTTTGATTATTTAGACTTTTAGTGCGTTTGGTTTTATTTAGCCTTTTTTTATTTTGTCTTTTACTTTTTATTTTATTTTTTCATTTTATGAAGATGTTTTTTAGTGTGTTTTTTTTTTTACCTTATTGCTTTTCTGTTTTTTTGTGCTTGTTTTGTTTTATTTTTTTGTTTTGTGCATTCAGTGTTTAGTCTTAAAATTTTATTTAGAGCTTTTGTTTTGCGTTTTTTTCTTTGTGCTCGTTTAGGTTTTTTATTTATTAATAATGAATATCTATTAATAATATCACAAATTCTCTCTTTATTTGTAAATCAGAGGCCTTGCTGGCGCCCTTTAAACCAGAAGACGACCCTTTAAGACGCACAGGCCGTTTATTTGGTGGACTGATCCGTGACGCCCAGCGCCGTTACCCAAAGTACATCAGTGACTTCAAGGATGCGCTGAACCCCCAGTGCATGGCTGCTGTCATCTTTATCTATTTTGCTGCTCTTTCTCCTGCCATCACGTTTGGAGGCCTTCTGGGTCAGTTATGATGTTGTTCTTTTGCTGAGAGAAACGAAATGATTTAAGATCTTAAATGCATCAAAAATACTCATTTTAAATGGATGTGATCAGTCACTGTTGGGCTGGATTTTTAAGAAGAGAAGTTTCAGACATTGTTTGAAAAAATCAAAACATTTCATCCAGAACTGACTTAAATTAGTCACCATGAAGATGTAAGTAACCAGTAAGTGACCAGTTATTTAACAAAAGGTTCATCATGATAAACACTATTAGTGGCTCTGATTCCGATAAGCATTTTAAATGAGATGCCCTGAACTCCAGACGGCATATGTGTCTGACATCGATGTTCAATAATTCACAACTCATGTTTTGTGTGTACAGGTGAGAAGACTGAAGGGCTCATTGGCGTGTCGGAGCTGATAGTGGCCACATGTATTCAGGGTGTGTTGTTCTGTCTGCTCGGAGCCCAGCCTCTTCTGGTGGTGGGCTTCTCTGGACCAATCCTGGTGTTTGAAGAAGCCTTCTTCTCTGTGAGTTTATAATGCTGTTCCTTAAACAAGATACACAACCCCTGCTGTTAAAGGTCAAGTTTAAATTTGTTTTTTTAAGACACATACTCAAAGATAACAATGAATAGTAATCAGTTAGCAAATGATTTCAAACCAAGTCAAGCTAGCATTAGTATTACTGTCATTCATATTTGAGGTTAGGGACCATAAATAATGAAATTTGATGCATAAACCAGCACTATTTGAGTGAATGTTACAAAGTCCATTAGTTATGAAGCAAAATCAATTCAACTGTAAAGCAGCTCTACAGAATATAATAGTTATTATTCAGCTCAAGTTAATTCAGTTTAAGTTCACCCAAAACGAATCACTCTGTCCTCTTCTTCTCCAGTTCTGTAAGGGCAATAATATGGAGTACCTGACAGGTCGCGTTTGGATCGGTTTTTGGCTCATCATCATCGTGGTGTTGATGGTGGCATTTGAAGGCAGCTTCCTGGTTCGATTTGTCTCGCGTTTCACCCAGGAGATCTTCTCATTCCTCATCTCTCTCATCTTCATCTACGAGACCTTCTCGAAACTGATCAAGGTAGTTTGAATCGTCTCTTGATTGTGTTTTGTCTGCATATATAATCGTGAAGTCCTCTTGACTGCTGATGTATCCCACAGATATTCCAGGAACATCCTCTGAGACGCTGCTCTGCTATGGTGGTTGATGTGAATGATTCAATGTACAACTCGAGCACTTTAAGTCCATTAGTGGCGAACAGCAGTACGCCGGAGACGCTGAAGGTGGTCGGTGAACCTAATACTGCTCTGCTGTCCTTTGTGCTCATGTCTGGGACCTTCTTCATCGCCTTCTACCTGCGCAAGTTCAAAAACAGTGCCTTCTTCCCTGGCAGGGTAAGGTGCCGTCTGATCAACTGACCCAGTGCTGAGTGATTAACACATTGCAAAGAAAAATGTGGTTGAAATTTGTCATCTTCTGTCTAAGAGAAGTCTAATTTTTCACAGTTGAGAAGAGTTATTGGAGATTTTGGAGTTCCTATTGCCATCCTCATCATGGTTCTGGTAGACTACAGCATTCAAGACACGTACTCACAGGTGACGATGGACAGTTAGCAATTAGCAGATGATTTGAAGTTATTAATAGTGCTTGCTAAGTCAAGCAACACTATTACTATTGCTCATTTCAGGCTAGAGACCCTAAATATTAAGCTTTGTTGCATAAACTTGCACTATTTGTGCTACTGAAGAAGAAAAGAAGAAATAAAGTAAAACCAAAAAATACAATAAATACAAATACACACACATATATATATATATATATATATATATATACGTTATTTGATCTATTCTTTTAAATTTTTCATTTTATTTTATTTTTATTATTAAAGCTCCAGTCCGTAACTTTTTTAGGTTAAAAATAATCCAAAATAATTATATTAAAAAAAACTTATTCTGCCAGTGGTCAAAACTATCTGCTTGCCATAGCTAGATTCAAAACGGGATAGCTTGTAATAATGATTTTAATTCCAGTGGTACTGGTGGGTTTCCGCGGGAAATTCGAGCATGTCTTTGCGTCATTACGTCACACCCGTACACATAAAGAAGGAGTTTCGGCTAGCCGGCTATACTGCGCGTGACGAGATGTTTAGATGTATAGGCTTTTCTCGCAGCACTTTACATAATTAAACTTATGGCATCCAGAAAGATCCAAACAACAATCATCAGTGTCAACTGGAGATTCAGCAGTTATAAAACCCAAAAGACTTCGTACTTCGGATTTAAGGTGGCTAGAGAAAGAGAAAGAAACCGTCTCATGCGAACACAAGGCTTTTGAAAAGTGCGTGAACTCCGTGTTTTGAAGGGGTTCAAAACGGAAGAAGAGACGGCTTTTTTCTGCTGAACAAGTAAGACATTTCAATAGTTCAATCGTGTACAGTACGTTTTCTTAATCCACACAGTTATGGAGTTTCCTTTGTTGTGCCTTTCTCGTTTTGCTATTATGGAGAATATGAATTCTGAACTACACAGATAACCATAAAACACATTAAATTTAACATTAGTCACGCAATGCTGATGTTGTTAACATGAACAATTTGAGAACAAAGTAGGCTATAATTTGCACGGTTGCTGTAAATCGCGTTGATTAAATCTAACGAAGCTTATCATGTCGAATGCTTTTTCCCCCTTAGTTGGTCAGAACAAAAATGGATTTTACTTACTTGTTCAGAAGACATTTTCTTATGAAAATTCTTATGTTGGTCAAACTTTCAAAAAGTGAATCTGTGATTCTGTATGACAGTATCCACACAGCGCGGTGACTGACAGCAGCACTCGCCTCAAAGCACTGTGTTCATCCGCGCTGTTTCATGCCGATTTACAACCCACTTAAAGATAATAATTCCGCGAATCACTGCAGTTACAGATTTCAAACAGAGAGATGGCGACAAAGAGGAAAAGATACGGACTGCAGCTTTAATTTATATATGCATTTTGAATGCTCCACCCATATTTTTTATCTTCATTGTCTATTATTATTATTATTGTTTACTTTTACTAATACTTTTTTCATTATTATTCTTTTCATTATTCTTTTATTTAATTTTTTTACATGTTATAAATAACAAATTACTACAGAACCCCTAAAGTGGTTTCCATGGTGGTGGAAGAAAAATATGAGATGGGTGGAAAGTCGATGCTTTTGCGTTCGCTCTCAAAAGGTTCTGTGACCGAACACCAAGGTTCTCGGGGGAACGCAAAACATTTGGAAGAGAACGCGAAAGCTTTGACACATAATTTTTTCTCCATCTAATTTTTTTTTTCCATCACATTGTTCCTTTAGGGGCTCTGTAAATTATAAATAATTAATAATAATGTATTTTATTGTTATTAATTTATTTATAACCTTATGAATGCTCCACCCTACAGAAACTTAGTGTCCCGCGAGGTTTTTCAGTGACGAGTCCTGATAAGCGTGGTTGGATAGTCAATCCTCTGGGCAGTGATGGTCAGTTCCCCATCTGGATGATGTTTGCCAGTATCCTTCCCGCTCTGCTCGTCTTCATCCTCATCTTTATGGAGACGCAAATCACCACGTGAGTCCATTGCCATGCTTTGTGTCATTATAATTACGTTTATATAGCTCAAAAAATATTTTTAGCAATGTATTTTTTGTGCTAGAAAAAATATTTGTTATTTATTTATAGCTTTTTCATTTGTAATAAAGCTGCAGCTGTAATGTAACTGCAATGCTGCTGTTTTTTTTCCACGTTTAAATCATGGCAGCATTAAAGACGCTCTCTTCTTCTAGGTTGATAGTCAGTAAGAAAGAGCGCATGCTGGTCAAGGGTTCTGGTTTCCATCTGGACCTGTTGATCATCGTGACTCTGGGCGGCACCAGCGCTCTGTTCGGCCTGCCGTGGATGGCCGCGGCCACCGTGCGCTCCGTAACCCATGCCAACGCCCTCACCGTGATGAGCAAAGCCGTCGCCCCAGGAGACAAACCTCGAATCCAGGAGGTCAAGGAGCAGAGGGTGACCGGGTTACTGGTGGCGATACTTGTAGGTGTGTTTCAACAATGACAATTCCAAACATTATCCATCTGATTAACACAAACTACTGATAGTGATAAGATCAATAAATCTCATTAACGATTTATACAATCTTGATGAATAGTGAATTGTCAGATAAAGTGGTAAGTGGGTTACACTGGGCTTACACTTTATTTCGTACTCTAATACTCTAATGACTGCAGGTTGACATGTAGTTGCAAAGTTACTTATAATAGTAGAATGTCTAAAGTGGACCATTGAAATAAAGTGCTACCGATATGGAGAGTTTGAATGTTTATTTATTTAAAATGGATTTTTCTCATCATCAAACAGGTAAATGTAATTATATATTGGAAATTTGTGTATTTTATCATATTGCTGTTGCCACCGTTTTAGAATTACAGTGCATTACAGTGATTTTTAACACAATTTAAATGGGTATAAACACCCTTTACCCATGGTACAATTAAGGTAACGCACAGTATCTTGTTGTTTTGAGATGCATAATATTTTATTACATGCACAATAAACCCGTGTAAATGACTATTGTATGTATTAACATGAGTCCGATAAATGTAGTCATTCTGCAAATTGTGTTGGCTGTAGGTCTCTCAATAGTAATCGGTGATCTGCTCCGTCAAATCCCAATCGCTGTGCTGTTTGGCATCTTCCTGTACATGGGTGTGATGTCACTGAATGGCATCCAGCTGACAGAACGGATCCTGCTCCTGCTGATGCCCCCAAAATACCACCCCGACCACACTTATGTGCGCAAGGTCAGGACCCCAAGCTGCTTTTTGTTATTAATAAAGAGGATTTTGGTTCATTGTTCCCTTAAAAAGGGACTGGCTGTAACATGGTATCAGATATTGTAAAGAAATCTTTTGTACTGTATATCTTGACTAAATCTCTGTTCCTCAGGTGCGGACCCTGCGTATGCATCTGTACACATTGATACAGGTGGTGTGTCTCGCTATCCTCTGGGCGGTCATGTCCACCGTGGCGTCGCTGGCTTTCCCATTCGTTCTCATCATGACCGTCCCTGTAAAGATGTTTCTTCTGTCACGGATCTTTAGCCCTCGGGAAATGCAGTGTGTAAGGATCTTTGCACACACTAAGACATTTTTGCTTGCTTCTTAGGGATACACTATCGTTCAAAGTTTGTGGTCAGTAAGATTTGTTTTAAAAAAAAACAAAAAAAACTTTTATTGTGACAGTAAAGACATTTATTTGTGTTCCTAAAGATTTCTGTTCCATTATAAATACTGGTCTTTTTTGACATTTCTATTCATCAAAGATTCCTGAGAAACATTTTCCACAAAAATATTAACTATTTTCAACATTAATTTATAAATGATGTTTCTTGAGCAGCAAATCAGCATATTAGAATGATTTCTGAAGGATCATGTGACACTGAAGACTGGAGTAATAATGCTGAAAATACAGCTTTGCATCACAGGAATAAATTACATTTTATAATCACTATAGATTATAAGTTATTTTAAATTGTTTTAATATTTTGTGGTTTTTACTGTATTTTTCATCAAATGAATGCAGCCTTGGTGAGCAGAAGAGACTTCTTTCAAAAACATTTAAAAAATCGTACTGACCTCAAACTTTTGAATGGTAATGTGTGTACTACTTCTAGGGAACGAACAAAATTAAATATAGTTAGGAAACATACAATGTCTTTTAAAGTCCGTTTGAAATGGTGTTCACAACCCATTTTAAAGGTATAATATGCAGGATTTTTCGCCACCAGGGGTCGCTAACCTCTTACAATAACAAAGGCGTATATTAATGACATATATTCCGCATTAAGCTGAATTATGGATCTTGTCGTCAAGCTCATGGATCTTTTATGAATGAGTGAATACATTGATGTTTTTAACATGACTGTGGTATAAAGCAGGGCGCGATTGCTAGACGTATACCAGCGCCACAGAGATTGTCCTCACTGCAGAACATGAAATCCACGGGGAGGAGTCGGATCCAGATCCAACTCCTCCCACCTTACATATACCTAAACCTACCCATCTCCGCCCCCTGATCCCTAAACCAATCCCTAACCCCACCCCTAATCCTACCCATCTCCACCCCTTGGATCTTGATCCGACTCCTCCCCGTGGATCTCATGTACTGCATTGAGGTGCTACTGGCGCCACTCGCAACGCGAGTCCCGCGGATATAAAGGAATAAGGACATTTCATTCTACCGAACTACACGCAAGTGCTGAATTTATACTCACACAGGTCAGTTTATTAGAGGAATTAAACTTGAGGTAACGCAGCGCTGTTTCACTTGCTCTAACAGTTACACTATCACACTAAACGGCATTTGAGTGTGTTGAATGTTGTTAGTTAGGTTGTGTGTTGGCTGTATGAGACTAACAGTAAGCTAGATTAACATTAGAGAATAACATACAGATCATATTCTAACTTTTCATCATGTTGAACTACATAATATTGATTAGTTTTATGTACATTTGCTCACCTGTCTAATGAAGTAACATGCAACACTCGCGCCTCTGTCAAGTCGAAGTTAGTCGCGGACGTGGAGCTCTCGGCATCTCGAAAGATGTTGATCTTCGTTTTAGTCCTCTTTTTGTCTCAAAGTGTGCTTGCCATGGTCCATAATGTTTGAACAAAACTACAACAGCGTGAGCGTCCTTCTAGGCATAACGGGCATAACCGGCATAACCCAGTTGTCAACGTCTGTCGCCATGGTTACTATTGCAGTACGAGGTCAAACCTGGCGGAAACCGAGGGTAACGCGGATATGACGCCATTGACTGGCGACTCCTCACCCCTGCTCACACGCCCCGTTTCCTTGGTTAAAATCGCAATTTTCTCACGATTTACAAATAGTTGGAAACATTTGGGATATTGTAAGTAATCAACTAAACAAAATATATAACATTGGCCTAGTGGTTTTTGGATATTTTACTGCAAAAATCCTACATATTGTACCTTTAATTCCTACATTTTTTATTTTATTTTATTTTAAGAGGACGTTATTTTTACCCTTTTGAATAATGTAAACGGATGAATCATGCACAAAAAGCCATAAAGAAAGTAGGTCATTTTCAAATTCATGTTAACACAATTTTTTTTCTCCCTTCTCTCCAGTTGGACGCTGATGATGCAGAGCCCACTTTTGACGAGAAGGATGGACACGATGAATACACAGAGATGCACATGCCAGTCTGAGCCACGACCTCACCTGTCTTCCTGTCAGTCAGGCTATTGGCCAAAAGGACAGTTGCTTTTTAAACTTTGACAAACCAAATCGCACAGTGAGTCTCGACATGCTGTATAGGAGAGAATATTATGTGAAATCTGGCAACAATTTCACTTGTATTAGAGGGTTTGAGCTGCTATCACACCATTTAGCCTGTCCCAAGCGCATTTGTCGCCTATGAGGAAAACGAATGTATCGTATGGGGTTAACTGGACATTCCCAGCACCATTCAGGGCCCATGCAATATTTTATGTAGTTTTTGGTATAAATGATCAAGGAAGATTGCCAAGGCCCATTTCATCTTATATAATATGTATGTCTGTGCTTTTAATAGTTTTACTGACTTCTTTTTTTTATTGTTGTGATTTATGACCCAACACAATCACAACCGACAGTATTTTTTTCCATTGTTGCTGTCCATTCACACTTTTTTTTCTATTTCTAAACAATTGTGTTCTCTTTTATAATGCATGAAAGTCACACTCTCACACAAACTCTATATGTGCAGTTGTAGTATATTTTATATTGACCGTAACATGGAGCAAATGCGATCAGAGCGAGTGAACTCTGAATTTGGTGTCAATTTTGGTGATCTTCAGATTAGTTTTAGTGAATCCCAGATGCATTCACTAGTGACCTAGTTTGGGGTCCTAAAACCCATTTTAAGAAAAAGAACAGGAGCGTCCCTACAGATGATCCCAAAATTGTAGCATTCAGTTTATAATGGTTCGTTTGTAAGAACTAAACATGTTGACCTGATAAGCCATTTATAGTCGCAAGTTCCATCGTTACCAACACGTTTCAACTGAACTTGTGTCCATATTTGGCTAACAATGCTTTGGGGAAATGCACACCCGATGAATTGTAATTTTCTACCACATTTTTAAAGTCTTTCCACATACAACGTTGAATTAACACTAAAACAGAAGCCTGTTCTTTTCAACACCAGTTCTCAGCTGATACACAGTGTAGATTTTGATTACTTACTAATTATTTATGCGTTTAACAGGGGAACCGTATTATTTATGTCAGTTCATGAGGGATTTTGCCACCGAATTCCTGAATAATATCACTAATTTCCCCCCATCATTCACTAATATCCCACTGCTTCACTATTTGGATCCCTACACAGTCAGTTAGATGGTGAATCTGCACTAATAAGATTCAACTACTGCACGTACACTTACTTTCACAATATTTTGTGCGCACATACCATCAGGAATGAAATTAACAAATTTAATGATTTGGTTACGGTTAAATAATTCAGTTACGCATGTGTTATGTTTGTTTTTTCTTTAATCCCCGGATTTGATCACACCATTGTGTTTTAAACATGCTGCAAAACAAGTGCTTTAGCTCATTTGAGCGCTATTTACATTCCAGAATCGGATGTATGTTAGGATCTTTTAATTATAGGAACTGATTATGTACGTTTTATATTGCATTAGCTTATGTATGCGCTTAACTAATGACTGAAATGAAACTCTAAGTGAAATTGTGTAGAGGTTATTTTTATCCGACTAGGAATTGGTTAGCGTACATGCGATTGATTTGAGAATATTTTTATAAAATGTTGTCTGTGTCATCGTTTAGTGAATCAGGACCTTCAGCACGTTGTACTTTGTCACCGCTGTTGATCTTCGACATTCCCTCTGCCCGTGTTCAGCGACCGGTTCCAGGTTTAGACGTCTAGACACGTTTAGGCCTGCAGAACTCTGGGAAATCAGATGGTAGAGCAGCACTTTGAGGTTCTGTGTGAATGCAGGTTTTGTTCTGCTACTGGATCTGTACTGTGTGGATTCTCTGCAGCACTTGTTTGTAGATGGTATTTATTATGGATGCTTTACGGGGTTCATGAAGACTGTTATGAAGGTTAATGCTGGAACATTGTGGTCATTTTAAAGTCTGGTGATATTTGTTACAAAAGTATGGCAAAGGGAAGTGAGGGTCATTTACCATCTGTGGACATCTTTTTTTAATGCATTTCGTTTTTATTTGTTGAATATTTGATTTTTAAACGTTCCACTGTACATAATGCAATATTTACAGTAAATTCCAAATATTGCAAATAAAGTTGATTTTTCTATTTAAATTGGCTATTCATATTTTTTTGTGTGTTTTTGTATTTATATTTCAGTTTTTAAAATTGATTTGCTTTACTTTTTTTTTTTTTTTTTTCACTGGAACTTGCAAGTGACCAAACAAACAATACTGCAAAAAAATATATTTATTTTTTTAAATATATTTAAAACGTCAAAAAAATATATTTATTTTTTTACTAAAGTATGTGGTCAGTAAGATTTGTTCTTGAAAGAAATTAATATTTCATTCCGCAAGGATGCATTAGAATTGATCAGAAGTGAATCAGTAAATACATTTCTAATGTTAAAAAATATTTTTATTTCCAATAAATGCTGTTCTTTTCAACTAAATTCATCAGAGAATCCTGAAAAACATTTTTTTTATCACAGTTTCCACAAAATATAAAGTAATAATAAATGTTTTCGAGCAGCAAATCAGCATATTAGAATGATTTCTGAAGGATCATGTGACACTAAAGACTGATAATGCTGAAATTTCATAAATTACATTTTAAAACATTTAATTATGTTTATAGAAATGTCATCTGAGCAACAAAAAAGCTAATAACTCAATAATAGCTATATATATATATATATATATATATATATATATATATATATATATATATACACAGCTATAATTAGCCATTTGGCAGATACGAGTCAATGAACTTTTCTGCCATGGCCCAAAATGACTAGTTGAGCAATGTGCAAATTGAATTGAACTAATTAGACTTATATTCTGGTTCTAGTGTGTGCGGTAACGACAAACAAATCCTCATTACTACAGCTGAATTTCAAAGCAATTAATAATTGTGCCAATGTTCTTCTCATCATTTAGTCCCTGACTTCTAGGCATCATGCCAGGGCTCCACATGAACAGTGGCTGGTTTAGAGAATGTTTAACCTGGGTTTTTTTTGGGCAAGCAGACATTTGCAGGAGGAGTTGAAGTTCAGACTGTGTTAAAGATGGCTCTGCTTCTGTTGGTCGTGCTGCTCACTGCTGGAGTCTCACCGAATGACGCACAACAGCTCCCAGATATCTACAAGAAAGGAGTGGAGCTGGCTTTACATCAGATCAATGCCCGTCACGCCACCAAGCACCATTTTCTCTTCTTTAAAGCTATTCATCAGGCAGAAATTGAGGTAACTGCATTCTTCTTTTCTGCTTTTTATCCTCTTCAGGGAAAAGATGTTCTGAAACTACCTGCATGATTTGGTAGTAGTTTAAGCTATATTCTAACCCAAACTAAATGGCATGTACGTCACACATCCTGAGGAGTAGGTCAGATATTCTAAACACTCTTGATGCCAAGTCATTTTTAGGTCAGAAATCGAATATCAAAAATCTCCGGAGACCCCCCCCCCAAAAAAAGAGGACAGAATTGAGTTGCTAAATTTAGAGTTGGTGGAAATGCCTGTCTGTTCATTTCCTGTGGATGAATAAATCCTCTCTCTGTAGGCAGGGTTTGGTGTCACCTACATCTACCATAACTTTTATCTGAAAGCCACAACATGCCGGAAAGGAACTGAGAACGCGGATACAACCACGTGTGAGTTCAGGAATGATCGGGTAAGTGTGACTTGTCTCGTGTTCATTTAAAGCACATACGCATTTTAGAAACCCATAGATGGTCATTTTATGAAGATCAGCTGTTTTTCATTTGTATGTCAGAGTAAATGACATTTTCCAAACACTTATTCAATCTAAATAAGGGCTGCTTTAAAGAACCATCTGTATTTTGTTGCATTTTGCAATCTCCAGTTTATAATAGTTACATACACTACCATTCACAAGTTTGGGATCAGTAAGATGTTTTTGAAAAGTCTCTTTTGCTCACTAAGGCTGATTTATTAGATCCAAAAAGGAGTAAAAACACCAATATTGTGAACAATTACAGGTTAAAATAATTGTTCTATCTTAATATATTTTAAAACATAATTTATTCCTGTTATGGCTGCAATGATTCATTGCAAAGAATGAGCAGCACAACTGTTTTCAATATTGATAATAAGAAATGTTACTTGAGCAGCATATTAGAATGATTTGCTGCTCAAGAAACATTTCTTATTATTATCAATGTTGAAAACAGTTGTGCTGCTTAATATTTTTGTGGATTTTTTTTAATAAGGATTCTTTGAATATAAAGTTCAAAAGAACAGCATTTATTTGAACTAATAGAAATCTTTTGTAAAATTATAAATGTCTTTACTGTCTCTTTTGATCAATTTAATGCGTCATTGCAGCATAAAAGTATTAATTTTCTTAAAAAATAAAATAAAATAAAAGATTAGTGAACCCAAACTTTTCAGCAATATTGTAGCTGAAATAAATATGGCTGAAAGTCTGGCTTTATTTTTTGCTATTGATACAATATACACTATAATGCAGTGTTACCAGGTTTAATACAGACAGTATACTTACATACTTGCTTGTATACAGTATATATTTAGTTACACCACAGCACTCAAAATGAAATGCAGATGAATTTTTTTAAACTTACCGACTCAATTTCCATATTCCTCCAGCCTCTCATTGACTGTGTGATCTGCTACAAGATCTCTGCAGGAGAAATTGGTGGCAAACCTTATTTAAACTGTATGTATCGACAAGTGCTCTCAAAGGTATTCCCTCTTCGTGTTCTTCATTTTTAAATGATTCATTTAATTAGCTGGAACTACACTTGATTTGATCATTAATGCTAAAATAATGTCCATCTTTGCAAATGTTTTTCCCAACATATTTAATGCAATAGAACCCCAGGATGTACCAAACTTGTGTGTAGAAGTGACCCTTTGTCTGATTGTTTGAACACAAGGAAAGCAAGAGAGAGCGAGAGATTGGCTGTTACCAGGCGGGTTTTGGCAGTTTGACCCCGACTCCTGTGGCATACACTGGATCCTAGAGAAGCTTC